CGCTAACCAGCTTTGGAGCCCCACCATCCGGAGATGGGAAAAGGAAGAGGGGGACTAAGAGATTGTTTGTCAAGGATGAGAAATGGGGAGCACTGAGGTAGGAGAAGGTGGCAGGGACTGCCAGCTACCTTGCAATATTCATGTTCCCCTTCTTTCTTTGCAACAGAATCAAATCTTGCTTTTATTCAGGCTGAAAAGGATAGCACTAAAAGACTATATTTCCAAGCCCCCTTTGTGACTTTGAGTATCCAATGAGATGTAAGTAGAATAGGTTGGATGGGGTTTCCATGAGAGCTGATACAGCAGCAATTGTGCCCTTCTACCTTTTCCCTTCCTCTCTTCCTTCCTGGGAACATAGACATGAGGACTGGAGTTCCAGCAGTCATCATGTGCCCATGAACTTCCTTGAGGAGTGAAGTCACAAGCTAAGGATGGTGGATCAGAAATATAGAAGTCTCCTAAAATCCTATCATACCAGCTGTCCCACCAGCCTTGGGTACCCGCCTCTGGATTTCTTTCATAGGAGAATACAAAAGTTAATTTATTTAAGCCACTTTTTCTTCTTGTCTCTACTGGCAGCCAAAAGCAATCATTAACTCATATAGGGAATAATAGTAACCCCAAGAGAGTCACATAGCATCATATCCAACTCATGATTTTTTTCTGCTGATAAGAAAGAAGTTGAGATTTGAAAGTTACCGTCTGTCTAAGATGAAGCCCAAACGAGATGATATCCTTCCTTTTATTTCAAAGCTTACAAAAGCCCAACTCTTCCCCTCCCTGCTTCCCTTCAGTTGGCTCACATAGACATATAGGTCTGTCCCTCACACCTGTCCTAGGCCCTGCTCCCAGGGTGTGCTCAAAACCCTTTGCCATCAACTGGGCTGACACAGTGATGTGGTTAGATAGACTCGCTCAACAGACCCTACAAACTTGGGGTTTGAGTAGTGGTCAGCCTCACTCATGTCCAATTGTGGCTCTGCATGTGAGTTAGCACCCGAGAAAACCTCTGCATTCCACTGGGAAGAAAAAGCCTGCATGTGTGTTAGTTGCATAATGAGGTCTTTGGTGAGAATTGTGGCTTTAAATAAAGTGACCCCACTCTGGTTCCATTAAAGATTAGGCTTTACCACCAAAGCACAGTCACACCTTAATTAAGCACTTTATGAGCCCAAGCAGGACTGGCTTGAACAGATCAAATGCTGACACCCTCCCCAGGCAAACCAAAGGAGCCCCGGGTCCCCATCAAGCACAATGGGGAAGAGGAGGAATTTTTCACCAGGAGAAAATATTTCTAAATAAAATGTAACTCCTAAATTCTAAACTTTCTAGGAAACATTAGTGCTTATAGTCTCAATTAATAGTTTTGAACCCTATGATCAAGCAAAGGTACCAAGTTGGAAAGTTAAACTGACCATCTGATTGCTATAGGGTCACAGTGAAATGATTTCAATGTGTTTCCTAGCTCATCCTTGGGAATCGGGTTTTACTAGGCCCTTGGCACTGCCTATCTTGGTTTCCAAGCTTTTCTACACCACTGAAACCTTGGCACTCACCTTCCCATTCCTCTAATTATTTGCCCATTCCGCTTATTCAAAGATAAAGTAACCAGAACAATGAATTTGACGAAGTGATTAGTTTTTACTTTAATGATTCCTGGTGACTGGCCTTGTGCTCAGTCCTCCATGGGTTATTGTCACTGACAAAGCTCTGTGTAGAGCAGGGAGATGATTAAATATATGCCAGGCCTTCCTCTCTACCATCATGGGACTTATCCTCCAGCTCAGAGGTGACCGTGTCCATCAAACAAACAGAGAGCAATGCAAGGAGAACAAATGCTGTGTCTGAGGCCTGAGAAAGACACCATGCTCCATGAGTGGCCAGGAAGGAAACAGATCAGAATAAGCCAGGGCTGTGGGAAAAGCTTTGTGCGTGAAGTGAAGACTTAGAGATAGTTCTTAACAGGGGGAAAAAATGGATAGGTGAATAAAAATATAGAATACCTCAAAAATTGTCACCTGTCTCCACTCTCAGGCCTTCTCCGATTCTGATTCCCAGGTTACACATTTGCAAATCATCTCTTACTTTTCACTCACTTTTGCAAAAATCTTTCTAGAACCGGCAAGTCAGGTAAGATGTTTTTCATTCAATTTCAAAAATTATTTCTGATGTCTTGGAATTACACTTTTCAAGTGACTTTAGGGATTATTTTTCAACTCTCTGGTTATACAAATTAAGGAAACTGATGTTCGAGAGATTATATGACATATCAAAGGTTACATAGCAAATTGGGGGCAGAGCAAGGACTAGAAGTCAGGTCTCCTGATTCCTATTTCAGGCTCTTTCCCTTCATAGTGGAATACCAGGCACCTGGCTCTCTTGGACCTCTAAATGTCAGGCATTTGTCTGGGTGTGAGTATCCTAACCAGCAGACTGTCCTCAGAAACACAGTCTACTCATCCTGCAGGAGGCCAAGTGAGAGGCATGGTCACATCATCCAAGATGACTTCTTGCCCCTGGGGAAATGACACAATGCAACACATACTGAACTCCATCTATGTCCCACAAATGTGGCATCTTCACATGTGACACCCGCGGCACCTGTGACACCTGTGAATTGTGGCACCTGAGACATGTCCTGTGGTCTTCCAGCAAGAGTCAGTAGCCTACCACAACTATGTCTTCTTAGGGACTTGCCCTGAGCCATCTGCCACCCCAGAAGCACTTCCTGACATGGTTGCTGATAAAAGGGAACATGCATTGCGTACTCACCCAGGCTCCCCTTTCAAGAGTCAGGAGTCAGCTCCACATAAACGCTGTTCCTTTTGGGGACTCTGGCATTCCAGGTATAACATCTAGTATGCCAGCTGCTCCTAAGTGGCAGGAGTCCTCTCATAAGGAAACCACAGCATTTGTTAAACCACCTCACCCTAATCTGATACCAAACAAACTGCGTGTTAGTCATGCCTATTTTCTTTCCCTATTTTCTTTTTCCCCAACATAACTATTTTCATATGTTTTATTGTACTTTCTTCAAAGCAACATCTTTGGGCTGAAGTGATCAACAGAGAGCCCCTACCATCTTCTTGTCGCCAGCTGTGAGGAAATAGCATTCTAGTATTTGCATACTTATAGTACTTTGAGCTTTTGAGTGAACCCAGGTAACCGGTCTGGTCACTGACAACAGTGATCATTTTCAATGTCTCTCTGGGAAGAATGGCAAAAGACACGAAACCTGCCTTTGGTAAGAATTGGGTCTTTCTAGAAAGTTCCTATTACTGGAATCCCTGGCTTCCCTCAAAGCTGAGTTTAATTCAGTGGGAAAGGATCTCCGTCGCCAAGAAACAGGTTGTATGGTGGAAAATACAGGCTCTGGAGCCAAAGCAATGTGAGTTTGGTGCTGCCTTGACTCTGTCAAGTACTTAACCTTGGAGCCTCGATTCCTGGTTTGTAAAGCGGGAATAACAACATCCGCAAGCAAGAATGAATGAAAGTTGCCGGTGGAATTCCTGTCAGAAGAAATGCTCACAAACAGCTGGACTGGCATTTTAGGAGAAAGAGAATGCTGTGCTTTTTACTCAGCCATATAGAAAGGCAGTCCAATAGCACATTAAGCTTGAAGGCCATGCTCACCGCACTAAACAGACACAGCTTGAATAGTCACCCTTCTAATAGCTGCTCACAACGACCATTTTCTGTTGAGCCATTTTTGAAGACAGTAGAGCTCTATTTTTAGGGAAGGCTACTGGCAGTTAGGGTAGCCTTTCAATCCCATATCCATTTGTCATAGTAAAGACTACCACTACCAGTGGTCAGAAGATGTGGGATTGGAAGATACAAGAGCTTTCTTTGGAAATAGCCCCTTGGACATGAAATTCCCTGGTACAAAGCTTAAGGAAAAGTCTTTCTTGGCAGCCTGGCTGGCATGAGCATTTTCTTTCTTTAATAAACAAAACATGACTATGCCATCTTTGTGTTGTTAGAAAACCTGGAAGCTGTGTGTCCCAGCCAAGTGGATCTGGGTCTTTCCACAGGGCAGGGGGACCTGGCTTTTAGAGACTTGCTGGCAGACCCCATGAATCTTAGCAATCAGCCTCATCTTTAGAAAATGGAACTTGGATATTGAATGCAATGGTCTCTGCCTATCAGAATAGAAACCAGTATCCAAATATCCAACAATGGTTGCCTGAACACTTCAAAAGATGTTCTAAGAACCACAAAGTTGAAAATATGCACAACAGCTTCTGGAGCCAGAAGGTGCCTTCATACGGAACTCCAGGGAACAAATAAGATGCATAAGACACTGGACTCAGAGTGGGAGAGGGGGAGCAAGGGCTATTTTCTGCCAAAATAAAACTCAGGGACACAGAAGACTCTGGCATTATCTCACCCAGCTGTACCATGGACTCTGGGGCTAGGAATATTGCCCTCAGATTGAATAAGTTGGGGCTGGAACAAACCTCTCACCTGTGAAAAAGCCATTTCTAAGTGGACACAAGGAAACTCTTAAAATACAAGCCAAATCTTTTGTAACTGTCCCCTCTTTAAAACATTGCAAAACAAAAATAAAACATAACTACCTGTAGCACCCTTATCTCCAACTAGGATGTTTCATTCTAAAATAAAACTAAGGAAACACTGTGTGTTTTAACAGTGAAGAATCCTTGAAAATTCTCAAATTCAAACTGAGTCCAAAACCCCCTGGAAGTTCCTGGTGGTGCCTAGTGAAAATTGTCCACACATAGAGTAAGCCATTACTGAAAACACCCAGCTGTGCATACGGCTCTTCACAGACAAGGCTGTGAATAGATAGAGCTAAGAAGGTCTCTTCCAAATTACACACCCACCCATGCTAGAGCTCTCCAAGCAAACACAAAACCCCTCCTGTTGATTTAGATCAACTCACCTCCATTATAACCACCCAAGGAATACAACCTTCCCCAAGCAGAGTCAAAAGGAAGCCAAACCTGGGAGTTTCTGGGGACCCCAAGTTCACTCACTTGTCTTCTGTGAAACTTTTCCCAGTAATAACGTTCTTTCCTTGGGGTACATAGTTCCAGTACTCTTCCACAATCCCAATGTGGTATGTTCTGGTAACTGCGCCAACCAGCCCAGACAGACCCAGGAATGTGAGGAGAAGTATGCAGTTAGCCTGCTGCTTCCGAGGCATTTGTGGATGTAACTCAGGCAAGCAGCCTGTGCTGGAGGCAACCCTGCCTGTCCCTCCCCCTCACTCACAGCTAGTTATAAATAAGGATTGGCCAAGGCCCAGCTCCTCCTCCTTAGGTAGCTTGGGGTTGGGACAGAGGCTGACAACTTGTGTAAGCACAGCAAACTCGATGGAGGAGTTGCTATGACGACAAACCTTTTGCCAGCCATCCAAAAAATGTGTAACTAGCTTATTTTTTTACTGCACCAGTTAGACAGGCCTGTTTCTGTAGGTTTTGGTGCTCTGCTCTGATGGTAGTCATTTATCTTTGTCAAGAATGGCAGGGCAACAAGTTGGGCTGATGTTTCTCCATTTCCTCCTCTTTTTTTCTCTATACCAAATACAGGAACATATTAAAATCTAGAAACTGGACTGGCTTGAGTGGAGCATCAGGAAATATCCCAAGCACTAAAGAAGGCTTCATCTCTTTCAGCAGTGCAGAGGAAGTGATGTAATCACCCTCTGCCATCTCCAACTTGTTTTATGAGGCTACATGAAACGATCAACTCACATCATAAAGTTCAGAACAACATTGTAAAACTTCACTAATTCTCCATTTGCTCATGCACCATCTCCCCCAAATTCTCTCAAATCCCCCCAACAAAAATGAGGAGGCTAATCACCAATTCAGCCAAAATTTGAGAGGCCATCACCCCCTAACAGTGAGCTGCCTTTCTCAGGATGATTCAAAATGATAAGAAAGGAGTACCCTTCAGGCACATGAAGACAAAATCCAGTAGCAGGTCTTAGGACAAAATTCAATAGCAGGTCTTTGGGTCCAAAAAAGGTGAAGGGAGTGCCTGTTCTGTGTGCTCTGATCTGTGACCTAGAATCTCGGTGTTGAAAGACCTCACCCAGCCCTGGGAGACAGCCAATCGGATCCCCACACAGAGTAGCTCTTGAGGCAGCAGCCGTGGAAGGAAGGAGACAGCCTCCTGGCTGGGTTTTGAGATTGGACAGACCTGTGTTTGAATCCAGTCTCACCACTTACTAACTTAGTAGCGTTGAAGAATCACTTGACCTCTCTAAGCCCGAGTCTGGAAAACAAGGATGGAGGGACTGTTAAGGAGATTTAAAGGATGACATAGAAGCAAAGCTAGATGACCCTGGGTTTGATGGTGATTTTTCAGATACAACACCGAAGACACAATCCATGAAAGAAATAATTGATGAGCTGGACTTTAAAAAAATTGACACTTTCTGCTCTGTGAAAGACACGGTTAAGAGAATGAGAAGAGAAACCAGAGACTGTGGAAAATATTTGCAAAAAACACATCTGATAAAGGACTGCAATTCAAAATATGCAAAGAACTCTTAAAACTCAGCAATAAGGAAACAAACCACCTAATTGGAAAATGGGCAAAAGACCTCAACAGATACCTGATCAAAGAAGATATATATACAAATTGAAAATAACCGTGTGAAAAGATGCTCCACATCATACGTCATCAGGGAAATGCAAATTAAAACAACAGTGAGACATCATTACACACCTATTAGAATGGCCAAAATCCAGAACACTGATAAGCTCAAATCCTGGTGAGGATGTGGAACAACAGGAACTCTCATTCATTGCTGGTGGGAATGCAAAACGGTACAGCCACTTTGGAAGACAGTTTGGCAGTTTCTTACAAAACTAAGCATACAGTACACATGAAATATCTTACCATTTTATTTGTCAATTATACCTCAACGAAACTAAGAAAAACTAAACATACTCTTACTGTGTGATACAGCAATCATGCTCTTTGTATTTACCCAAAAAACAAGAAAACAAGTCTACACGAAAACCTGCACACAGATGTTTGTAGCAGATTCATTCATAATTGCCAAAACTTGGAAACAACCAAGAAGTCTTTAATGAATAAATAAACTGTGGTACATATAGAAATGGAATATTATTCGGCACTAAAATGAAATAAGCTATCAAACAAGGAAAAGACATGGAGGAAACTTAAATGTGTATCACTAAGGTAAAGAGGCCAATCTGAAAATCTATGTATTGGGTAATTCCAACTAGGTGACATGCTGGAAAAGTCAAAACTGCGGAGATAGTAAAAAAATCAGGGGTTAGCAGGGAGGCAGGGATGAATAGATAGAGTACCCAGGCTTTTTAGGGCGGTGAAACTACTCTGTATGATGCCATAATGGTGGCTACACATCATTATGTGTTTGTCCAAATCCATAGAACGTACAACACCAAGAGTGAACCCTAATGTAAACTATGCGTTTTGAGCGATAATGATGTGTCAATGTAGGTTCATCAGTTGCAACAAATATATCACTGTGGTGAGGGATGTTGATAATAGGGGAGGCTAAGCATGTATGGGGGCAGGAGTATATGGCAAAACTCTGTACCTTCTGCTCAATATTGCTGTGAACCTAAAACTGCTCTAAAAACAATAAAATCTATTTTAAAAAAAGAAGATTTAAAGATAATGCCTGCAAAGTGCCTATCACAGCCCCCAGCACAGAGTAGCTGTGCAGTAAATGTGAAAGTCCTTCTTCCCTATCCACCCCCTCTAAGAGAGACTGCTTCCATCTATGTAATGAGAGACTTGTATTGCCACCAACATTCATCTTCTTCTTTCCCAGAGTCCCAGAATCCCATCTACCACACCTCTCACCAGCCTCAAGTAAGAGAGTTCTTTTTCTTTAAATGGTAGATACTCTATAGATGTGCTGTAGCATGAGTTTTGAAGTAATGCCCATCTTAGCCAATAAAATACATTCTGAGCATCCTGTTTCATAGCCAGGCTCTTAACATCTTTGATTTATTGATTTGTCTTTATGTCAGTACATTTGCAGAGCAATTGCCACAGCACATTTCCCTTTAACTCAAATCTGCTCTTCAATGTGGGTTGGAAAGCTTGGTGCAAGTTTATCATTTTAACAGCCATGATAGAGGAAAGACTCACAGGGCGAATCTGAGCACGGCCTCAAAATAAGTAGAGCTTTAGGAGTTCTTGGAATTTGGAAATGTCCCAGAATCAATAGTTTTTTGTTTATGTCCCAGAGAAGGAGGCTATTTGGGGCCAAACAGGCTTGATGGGGTACCAAAAACTTCATTAAGCATCATTCCACCCAAATTCTTTTAGATGGGAGAAACAGAGATATAAATGACATATCAAAAACACAAAAGAGTTAACTTTCCTACCCAGGATACTGAATGCATACAGCGAAAACCCTGAGGAAGGTGTCACCTACCTTCTGATTCAAAACTAGGCCCACAGGAGGCTCGAGGAGACAGGAGAACCAGGCAGCCATAGCAGATGTGGCCAATGCACTCAATCTATCCACAGCCGAGAACGTGATCACGAGGGGCGAAAGAATTAGGGAAAGAGTTTCCTAAAACCAGTGAAATAGTGTTCTGGAAACCTCTCTGAAATTCTTCCTTACTCTGGGACAATAAAGATGCTCAACAAGCATCTGAATTACATAAGAGCTAAAGAAAAGAAAAGGAACTGGTATAGGTGAATACAGTGTTTGTATAACATACATTTCTGAAAACCCACAGTTAAATACAAGATGTGATTGACAATGCCTGGAATTTGACTAGGAAATCTGTGAGTAATAGTGTTAACAAACACTTTCAACTTCGTTGGACATGATTCAGACATAAATAAAGCAGAGAAACTCAACATTTATAAAGCACCTACTATGTGAGATGGACAGTCCGAGATATTCACTCCCTTATTTCCTCAATAGACTCACCAGGTTTGAGATATGGTAAATTTGACGTCATGCCTCAATAGAAGACAAAGGTAATCTTGGATCAAACCCTTTTCTCTGAAACATAATACAGGATATCAAACAATAAAACTTTTAGTGAGAGAAACCAATTCAGAGAAATAGGATTTTAGCTCGCCCTCATTGGATTGTCATTTTAAATAATAAATAAAATGTGAATGATGAAATTGGCTACCCCATTCTTTAGACTTCTTGCATGTTTTAAGAGATACATCAAATGCTCCTTAAGAGATTCTCCGTATCCTGAACTCTGGTCTAAAACTCCCATCTGTGCAGCCCTCTCAGGGCCCTGCTACAGTAGAGCGCAGTTCTCTGACCTCACTGGGACCCTCAGCTCCTTGAAGGTACCTCATTATTTCTCACCTGGAGCCTTAGGGCTCCCTAACGGCTCTCACTGGGGCCAGAGTGACCTTCTTGAATGAAGATAGGCCCAGGTCTCTCCACTGCTTGAGATTTTTCAGCAGCTCCCCATGGCCTTCAGGATAAGGGCTGACAGCCTTGACCTGATCTGACTCCTGGGGACTGGGGATCTCTCCTCAACATTTAGTCCATGCTCTGAGCATCATCATCACCATGGCAACCAGGGTGCCCTTCGTCTGTGCTCCTGTCATCTCCGTGTGCACGGCTTTTCCATAGAACTTATCATATGACTCAGTAATCACCTGTTTATCTGTTCGCCCTCCCACACAAACACTCAACACAGGCTTCCTATGGGCAGGGACTAGGCCTTGTTCATTCTTGGGTCCCCAGTGTCTGATGTTAAATGGTGAACCAATGCATGTGTGAATGAATGAATAAAAGAATATTAGATGTTTACCAATACATACCAAGTGCATGTTATGTAGGGTTTCTACACTAAGCCCTTTACATGCACTATCTCATTTAAGTAGTACAACAACCATATCAAGTGTGCACCGTTTCTATCCCTTCTTTACAGATGAGAAAACTGTAAGTTCAGAGAGGGTAGGTCATTTTCTCAGTGCCCCACAACTGGTAAGTGGTAGAGTTATGTGAGACTCCAAAGCCAGCATTCTGACCCAAGGCCCCCAGACTGAGGAGAAGGGGGCACCAGAGATCATGGTTGCCTGCTTCAAACTACTAGGTGGGACCTGCTCTCTGTAAAGACATAAGAGCAGGACTCTTCAAGGATGTATCCATTGGAGGAGGATGCCAAAATTCCCCTCCAGCCCAGCGCATGCACCCTTGACAGCACAAGCAAAGCCTTGATCCTTACCTTGAAAACACCAAACATACCACAC